ACATATTTCCTCCATACTCAAAACATACATAAATAAAAATATTCAACTAAATATTCCTTTGAATTTTGGTATATTTCACATTCGCTATATAAAATTCATTATGAAACTCAGCTAGTATAAAAATATTGTCTGTATAAATAGGTTTTCCACAGAATCAAAATTTTCAATATAAAAAACCTATTTCGTGAAACCATTGATTATGTAACTCATTTAATACCTAAAGAAATCGCATGGCCATTTTAAGCATAACCTACAACCTTATAAAGCATCAAGAATTCAGGCAATGGTCAATGTAACAATTGCTTACAACCGAGGAGATGGTTAATGCCAACTATTTGGAATAAAGTAGAAGATATTCAGTAGCAGCTACAAATGCAAGCCGTTCACCTCTGGCATGCGCGCAATTTCATTCAGCACAGCACCAATGATCATGGCTGGAACCAATCCGCAACCTCATTTTCGCAAAACGAACTGCAAGTCGATACAACAATTCAAAACTGCCCCACAGTTGATTACTCAGTTTCTTGCGAAATTGTTTACCTCCATTGTGAAATCCACGGTTTCTTGATCATGGCCGAGAGAAACTCTTGAACACCAGTTGGATGTTCCAATTCTGCCTTACACCTGTTGTGTCTAAGTAGACAATTTTCCCCGAATGCGTAGCAAGATCCCCGTTGGGCGTTCAACTTAGGGTGCAGCACCAGGTTTTCATCCCAAACACCTAGTTTAAAAACTTGGAGGGTATGAGCAAAAAAAAGTGAAACGATGAAAAGCCGACCTCACCCCTCTCTAGGGTATGTTGAAAATTAAAATAAAAATGGCACAAGAGATGAAAACAGCAGTGCTCAGCGCGTGTTCCAAAAAAAAAACTTAAACTACAAAATAACAACTTCCCCAGAGAACGGTCAACCACATCCTTTTCATCCCACCCAGCTTCTGTGTCTGCCAAAGCTTTTCAACTGATGCCTTGTTGGCATGTAAATACTCGGAAACGCTTTTTCCAAGTAGCGTAGGAGATTCCGAAGTGGTCCGTATTTGAATATCTCTCTTTTGAATTTTGCCGGAACAGCTCTACACCCCACATGTGAGCCAACTTTTTTTCATCTCGCACATGTTTTCCACGCATGTGTGCCAACCCATCCTGAACCAACGCCCCCAAGACACACTACAAACTTCAATCCGAAAATTTTCATCTCACACATCCCTATTTTGAACTTTGCCAACGCAGATTACACCACGCATGTGTGCCGACCCTGAACCAATGTTGCAATGATACACCACAAAACCTCAGACCCCAAGATTTTCATCTCACACATTCCTCTTTTGAACTTTGCCGGAGCAGCTCTCCATATTACACCACGCATGTGTGCCAACCCCCTGAACCAACGTCCCAAGACACACTACAAACTTCAATTCCGAAAATTTTCATCTCACACATCCCTGTTTTGAACTTTGCCGGAACAACTCGGAACAGATGACACCACGCATGTCTGCCAACCCTGAACCAACGTTCCAAAGATACACTGCAAAACCTCAGACCCTAAGATTTTCATCTCACACATCCCTCTTTTGAACTTTGCCGGAGCAGCTCTCCACATTAAATCACGCATGTGTGCCAACCCATCCTGAACCAACGTCCCAAGACACACTACAAACTTCAATCCGACAATGTTCATCTCACACATCCCTGTTTTGAACTTTGCCGGAACAACCCGGAACAGATTACACCACGCATGTGTGCCAACCCATCCTGCACCAGCGTCCCAAGACACACTACAAACTTCAGATCCGAATTTTTTCATCTCACACATCCCTGTTTTGAACTTTGCCGGAACAACTCGGAACAGATGACACCGCGCATGTGTGCCAACCCATCCTGAACCAACGCTCCAAAGACACACCACAAAACCTTAGACCCCAAGATTTTCATCTCACACATCCGTCTTTTGAACTTTGCCGGAGCAGCTCTCCATATTACACTTTATTACACCACAAATGTGAGCCAACCCATCCTGAACCAACGCCCCAAAACACACTACAAACTTCAGATCCGAATTTTTTCATCTCACACATCCCTGTTTTGAACTTTGCCGGAACAGCTTGCCATGTTACACCACGCATGTGAGCCAACCCATCCTGTACCAACGTCCCAAGATACAACACAAACGACTAATGACTCAATTTTGCAAACCCATCCTCATCGAACCTCCCAAGATACACCTCTCAAAATTTCAATGTTCACCGTATAGGCGGCAAAAATGTCGAGCCTTCTTGACACGGTCGAATGAAAACCTGTGTGCAACCTTCAGGCCAAAAATGGTTCTCAGTAAGCTTCAGTGGTTTAAACTACCTGCGCCCAACCTATTGCAAAAATGCTCTCAAGACGTGTTCCCTCGGATGAAATCCTTTGGCTTCATGGTTTATTTAAAATCAAAATTCTAAAATATGTAAAAAGGGACCAAAAGATAAAAGACTGAGTGAGGCCTAACATTCTTGGGGTTAAATTTGGTTAAAATGGTGTTAAAAAATCAGGCTCCAGCTCCTGGTTTTCATCCAGGAGCCCCAAACGGGGATGTAGCAAGGGTTCCGTTTCACTTTGGGGGTCTAGGGATTGAGGGTGTGTTCGCTCGACGTTGCGTTTACGTTCGCAACCGTTCGCAACCGTCCGCAACCGTTCGCAACCGTCCGCAAGCGTTCGCGTGAGGGCCGTATGGCCGTGCCTATGGTAAGTTCTGCAGAAGGGGTCATTTTTGGATGTTTCAAACATCTCGTTGCTTCGTTTCGCGTGGCAGGCTTGGCATTTCGTGACATTCAGACGTTTTTCCCGAGAGCGTCTGAGCGCAGGGTTCTTCCAATAGCGGGGGTCTGTATCTCATCTTCTCATCTTCACAGCTTCTCATCTTCACATCTTCTCATCTTCACATCCTCACATCTTCACATCATCTTCTTATCTTCACATCTTCTTATCTTCACATCTTCTCATCTTCTCATCTTCTGATCTTCGCACCTTCTCATCTTCACACCTTCTCATCTTCACAACTTCACATCTTCTCATCTTCACATCTTCACATCTTCACATCCTCACATCTTCACATCCGCACATATTCACATCCTCACATCTTCACATCTTCTCATCTTCACATCTGCTCATCTTCACACCTTCTCATCTTCACATCTCTTCTAATTTTCTCATCTTAACATCTTCACATCTGCTCATCTTCACATCTGCTCATCTTCACATCTGCTCATCTTCACACCTTCTCATCTTCGCATCTTCTCATCTTCACAGCTGCTCATCTTCACATCTGCGCATCTTCACATCTGCTCATCTTCACATCTGCTCATCTTCACATCTGCTCATCTTCACATCTTCTCATCTTCACATCTTCTCATCTTCACATCCTCACATCTTCACATCCTCACATCTTCACATCTTCTCCTCTTGCCCTCTTGCTTTCTCCTTCTTTTCTATTTCTCTTCTGAAGGCGGGGGCAGGGCAGTGCAAACGAGACGGCACGAAACGCAACCCTTTCGCACGAAATGAAGGCCGATCGTCAAAAACTGAGGAAAAATTGCGATTTTACTTGTCCCGGAGCAACCTTTTCGCACGAAACGAGGGTCGATCGGCAAAAACTGAGGAAAAATTGCAATTTTTCGTGTGCTGGAGCAACCCTTTCGCACGAAATGAGGGTCGATCGGCAAAAACTGAGGAAAATTGCGATTTTTCGTGTGCCGGAGCAACCCTTTCGCACGAAATGATGGTCGATCGGCAAAAACTGAGGAAAAATTGCGATTTTTCGTGTGCCGGAGCAACCCTATCGCACGAAATGAGGGTCGATCGGCAAAAACTGCGGTAAAATTGCGATTTTTCGCGTGCCGGAGCAACCCTTTAGCACGAAATGAGGGTCGATCGGCAAAAACTGAAGTAAAATTGCGATTTTTCGTGTGCTGGAGTAATCCTTTCGCAGGAAAAGGGGTTTGTGTGTACAAGCGTTTCTGTGTAAAGATGTTTGTGTGTAAAATTGTTTGTGTGTGTACAAGTGCATCTGTGCAGAAGTCTTGTGTGTAAAACCTTCTGTGTGTAAAAGTCTTTGTGTGTAAACGGGTTTGTGTGTACGAGTGTTTCTGTGTAAAGATGTTTGTGTGTAAAAGTGATTGTATGTAAAATTGCATCTGTTTAAACGTGTTTGTGTGTAAAAGCTTCTGTGTGTAGAAGTGTTTGTGTAAACGTGTTTGTGTGTCGGAGTGTTTCGGTGTAAAGATGTTTGCGTGTACAAGTGCATCTGTGTACAAGTGCATCTGTGTAAAAGTGTTTGTGTGTCAACGCTTTTGTGTGTAAAAGTGTATCTGTGTAAAAGGGTTTGTGTGTAAGAGTGTTTCTGTGTAAAAATGTTTGTGTGTAAAAGTGTTTGTGTGTAGAAGTGCATCTGTGTAGAAGTGTCTGTGTGTAAAAGCTTTTGTGTAAAAGTGTCTGTGTGTAAAAACATCTGTGTGTAAAAGCGTCTGTATGTAAAAGCTTCTGTGGGTAAAAGCTTTGTGTGTAAAAGCCTCTGTGTAAAAGCTTCTGTGTGTAAAAGCTTCTGTGTGTAAAAGCTTTTGTGTGTAAAAGCGTCTGTGTGTAAAAGCTTCTGTGTGTAAAAGTGTTTGCGATGCAAACTATTGTCTTGCACTTCTCACTATTTTGTCTTGCTACTCTTCTCGACTGCCTATACTATAACACATCTTTCATGTATTGTTTGTAAAATTGTGTCTCCATACTAACAAGAGAAGACTCTGCTCCTCTACGCTCTCGGGCCATCCGTCGTCTAGTTTGTAACGCGTCGAAAATCGTTTTCTGTGGCAGGTGCAATACTTTTGTGACATTCCAACCTGTTTGACAACGTGTCGAAAGTTTCAAAATTGGAGGAAGTCTCGCACGAAATGCTCGTTTTGCTGCGCCCACGTGTCTTGTCTCGAGTCTCTGGTTTTCCTGTGGCGTCGCCGTGTCTTTGGGGGAAGCT